ATCTCAAAGCCAACGCGTGCTATTTTGGGAAACGGTACGAGAAGTTTCAGACGAGCTGTCAACTTTGATGGATGGGACGCAGATGTTTTAGTGAATCGGACGGTACGTCAGAAACTGCGACATTAGTATTCGGATACATCGATTACAAGTATCGATTACGGAAATGGAGACAAGTACGACTACGATTTCAAGGCATAAATAGGAGGGGACGGCAGAACTCGTCCTCTCTCTTCCCGTTTCGAGGCTCTTACCTCTTTCATCGCTCGCTTAGATCAGTCAGTCTGTGTGACTATGTCAAGTCGGTTATAGAACGGGTTAGCCGTATTGTGTTAAGAAGGATTATAGACATGTGGATTCAGTTATATAAAGCCTAGTGAAGGACTGTTAGGGGTCAGTTGATTCAGACTATTATTGAGAAGCATTCCTGTTGATTTATTGTGTTATTATGAAGCATTTCTTGATTCATGTAATAAAGGATCAATAGCGAACCTGCATCTTGAGTATCTATACTGTGGTCAATGTTGTCTAGAATGAGTGGTTAAACTCGTTAACACGTGGCACTACAGGCAATTAGGTCTCATTACATGTGGCGTTGCGAGCATGGTAACTGTTGGCTCGTTACAATTGGCGTTGTCGGCAGGATAAATGTTCGCTCGTCACATATATATATATATATATATATATATATATATATATATATATATATATATATATATATATATATATATATATATATAAAACAAGGTTCGCTCTCAATTTAAAAAAAATTCCATCTGGTACACGAATAAATCAGAGGTTTTCCAACACACGAGCTGGCCCCTTTCTAAATCTAGTCCAACACACTAAACTGAGGCTTTCATCAAAACGTTACTAACCGTGTGCCCTGTTTTCCAGAAGTTGAATTAAATGTTAACAATGTCGGCAGTTCATTTCTTGGATCTTAATGCGCGGGTTTGTCCACACTACCAACTAGACACGCCAAGGCATGCTGTAAATCCCTCGGCGACGGCCCAGGTGTCAAGGGAGTCACGGGGCTCTTGGAGCTACCGGTTACATTACTGCACGGGTGATGGGTGTGACACATTGTTTCTTCCGGCAGAGCTCCCCCCCCCTCCCCTCCCCCGAAAACAGTCTACCCTGGAAGAAACATTGGTGCGACACCTAATTAGATTTAGTCATCGAGTGTAGTAGCGAGACTTATTCCTAGTGTTGTGGGAACTTTTAAACGACTGTCTGTGGGGGCCAACTTGCTCATATGTGATGCGCTCAGAATGACACTGACGCCAGTTGTATTCAAGTAGTAACCTCATCCGCTTATGCAGGATCACGGGGCGCTAAATCACATATTTCCGTTAGGAGTCCCCACTCAAATATGTACAAATGTTAGGCCTATGACAGAGACCTTTGCGGGGCTGTACTCAACAGCTTCCCAAGTTTTCATGGCGATTGGGTGAATGATGCAGTAATGCATAATAATAATAGAGAGAAAAATGTTTTTCACATGTACAACTGTATGTGGCCAGGTCACGCGTTGGATAACCTTCTGATTTAGGGGAGGGGGGGATTAACAAAAAGCCTGACCCTCACACACCCCCACCTCAATGACTATTAATAATGTTCAATTAATTCTAAACGTTCTAATTAATTTCTAAATAATTATATAAAAAATAATCTTACCTGCCCTGTTTTGTGAATTAGATGTGCCTAATACTATGAAAGTAAATTAATATGTGTTGACTAGATCTAGTGCTGTCTAGTGTCTGACAAAATGTGCTGAAGTGGTGAATCGTACGGTTAGGAAGTAGTTCATAAACGATACATTTATCTCCTCGATACTTGTGAGGTTGAGAAAGAGGGATGGGATAGGGGTCGGCTCGGGAAAAAACTTGAAAGGGACAACAAAACGCCTTGATCTATGTATGTCAGCATCGCCCTTTGTAAAACTTACTCAGGGGAGATAATTTGAAGTATAGGCCTTAAAAGTTTACTATATTTCTTGTAAAATCAAAAACAAGTAAACGTATATAAAACTGAAGTTTCTAGTATTATATAATTTTTTTAAAATTATTTGTACGATACAAGATAGTACAGGATACAAATTCAACCACTATCACAAACACATATTAACATTGAAAAATGTACAATGGATTTCGGGTCCCCTACCAATGCCGCAAATATTGAAAGTATTGCAAGCCCACTTCATATGTAGCGGCTTTTCGTGCTATGGACTTTGTTGTTTTTTTAAAAAGAATTTTGCCGGCGACAGCGTGTGTTTGATTGTAGGGAAATAGAACTCGGCCTTGACGATGGTTAAAAAATACAACTATAAATAACTGTTTTAAATATGTAAAGAATTTGTCGACAATTTTTTAACCCCCTTTTTGGTCCCCATCCGCCACAGTATTCTTTGGAGGATCGGTCAAACAGTTACGTGTCCTCTATTTAGCTATCAAAGGGAGGGGGGGGGGGGGGGGGGGCAACGAGTCAAAGAAGTCATTCAAAATTTGAAGAGTTGCCTATATTTTACACTGTAGTTTGTGTAATGGATTTTATCTTTTACGGAAGAGCGTGGTATAGTGACTGTAAAATAAAGATAATCGTACCGCAGCTACAGTGTTTTTCTTTTACAAACCAAATATTAAGGCAAAAATTAAATTCAAAATTTAAAAAAAAAAAAATTTGGTCAGCCGTGGGCCCCTAAACGGCCTCCCCCCCCCCCCCGCGCATTGCGGGGTCTGGCGGGACTGTAGTTCCGCCCCTGTTCATCAGGTAAATGAACAACTACTGACTAGTGTCTTTAACAAAATGTGCAGAAGTGGTCAGTTTACAATTCATAGACGGTTCGTTAATCTATGCATTACATCTTATTGTAAGAGTAAGGGTGTGGTGAGGGGTAGAAGTGAGGGGTAGGGGGAGGGGGGGGGAGAGTTGGGAAGGGAAGGGGACAAGAAAGCGCCGATAAACATCTACATCAATAGTGCCGACTTTTTCCGATCGTCTAGAAGACCAGGATAGTCGCCTCGCCGCAACATTTCCCCAGCCCGATTTCAAAGCGTACCGGCACAGTCAAATTTCAGATGCTTCGTCTTTGAAGTTGTCTATATGTCTGGCGGTCTCTCGAGCTATAGTCAGTGCATTTTTCTCAAAGACGTTTGCCGACTATCGTGTTTGTTTGTAACTGTAGAAGAAAGATAACTCGACCTCCACCTAATTTTTTTTTTTTTTTAAATAATTTAGCCAGGATTTTTGGGCCCCCAATTGGTCTGGGCCCCCCCCCGCATTGCGGGGTCTGGCGGCACTGTAGTTCCGCCCCTGACATATACACTATTTAAAAAAAAAACAATGTAAAAAATTTTTTTAAGGGGAGGTAAGATAAAATATGACGTTATGTGGGTGGTGGTTAAGCTTTTTTGGGTGACGGGGAGCAGAGTTTCTTCCAGGCATATAGAATATATATACTTATAACACTGTCAGCCCCCCCCCCCCCCCCCCCCCGAAAATTTCAGGCCCCCCCCCCCACCCCGGAGAAAACAGTCGGGTAGAAACTGATGGGGAAGGAGTTGGGAAAGGGTCAAATTATATTTAACAGCGTGTCTTTCCTTACGGTTGGCTTTTAACTTATCTGCTGAACCCTTCAGCATAACGGGTTAAATAATGACGTTGTGTATTTTGAAATTATATATTTGTTGAGAGCATTTTTAATAGACCTATATATCTATGGACCTCCACAATAATAATACGTTGTAAATAGACGAAGGGGGGGGGGGGCGGACGTCATAAGTTGATGACTCACACGTAAGAAATAGAGACAATATACACCCTAAATAGTCTTTACAGCCGTGTATTTTCTAATTCTTGTATTATCCCAACAAACACGTCTCCCATTCAACAACCAAGATCAAAATAAACAGTCTCTATATTTTCAAAATTTTCACCCATTACCATAACAGATTACGATAACACCCCCCCCCCCCCCACACACACACTTATCTCTTTCACGTTAGTGCTACATCAGCCAGTCTCACCCCCACCCCCCTCCTCCCAACAACAGTCACACGTAGCACAGTGCTCTGTGTTTTAGAGAATTACCTGCTCTTTGGCACTGCATGCCGTTCTTCTCATGGTTCGTACAGGTACGAGAGACTGGTACGTTTATTTTATCTTATGTCCAACTAGTTCAATCTTGTTACTTTTGTAACGAAAAAAATGTATTTATTTCTGCTCAAACTTATAAAACAAAAAGACAATTTCATTATATAAGATAGGTCTATTATGTGGCAAAGCATCATGAATCGTATCATTTGACATTTTGTTTTGTAGTCTCGACCTTTAACCTCAGTCAAGTTTTTAAGATTATGCGAACATTTCAGAAAATGTGTCTGAACTAGATCTGAGCCAAGGTACACATTTTAGCCTACACATTAGAGTGATCATGCATTTATTACATAATCTGTTAGGGACAAACATACATATGCAGCTTATACATATATATATATATATATATATATATATATATATATATATATATATATATATATATATATATATATATATATATATAGGCATATATATTATATATATATATATATATATATATATATATATATATATATATATATATATATATATATATATATATATATATATATATATATATATATATATATATATAGGCATATATATATATATATATATATATATATATATATACATATATATATATATATATATATATATATATATATATATATATATATATATATATATATATATATATATATATATATATATATATATATATATATATATATATATATATATATATATATATATATATATATGTATATGCATATTAAATTGGTAGTGCTGATGTTTTCATTAGTAAAATTACTGTAGCCGACTATCCTAACAACCACTTATTAGAAAAGTATTTGCCCTTCCTTGATAGAAATAGCTACTTTAAAGGAAATATTGATCAGAACAGTTTTTCTACTTTTATTTTCAGACCACACCGTGAAAAATGAGTTTTGAAGGTAGAAATTCTAAACTCTACACTCAAAATCATCTTAGTCAAGAAAAATGGAACAAGGTCAGTTTTTCATTTAAGTATTTCTTTATTATAATTATAAGAAACACAGATTATTAATTAATTAAACTACAACTATGTACACAGATTATATCACATAATTTATGCTAGATAAAAATTACTACAATTCAAGTTAACAAATATAGGTCTCTCTATTGTAGAGGGATATTAATCCACCTGGCTGATTTATAATAAATTTATCATTTTTTCCTTTTTATGCCCAAGACACAATCATGGGGCCACCAATAACTGATTCAGCCATCTTTAAAAAAAATTCATGCAATTATGTACTCAATAATGGGATTTCAGATTTACTAGTATTAGTAAAAACCTTGAATCATTGATGCCTGAATCTACTTCCTCTTGACCTAATATATCTTGGTCACCACCTTAACATACCCTACCCTGTTCTCAACACACTCAACTAAGCATAAAAAAATTTACATTCATTTTTATTTCAAAAACTATTTAGCTACTATTAATAATAAAAGTTTTACATTTAGTAAATGATAAATATGTTTTGGTTTTAAAAATTAAATGTTTTAATTTGCTAGAGTATATTTCACTAGATCTAAATCCTATAAAAGCTGGAATTAAAAACTATCAATTAGCTGGAACAATGCAATTTCAAATCCTTTAATTAGCTTTATTTAAATGTTTGAATTAGCTGTAATTATATGTTTTATATTGTAATTATATGTTTTAATTAGCTGTAGTTAAATGTTTTAATTAGCTTTAATTAAATGTTTTAATTAGCAGTAATTAAATGTTCTAATTAGCTGTAATAACATGTTTTAATTAGCTGTAATTAAATCTTTTAATAAGCTGTAATTTAATGTTTTAATTAGCTGTAATTAAATATCTTAATAAGCTGTAATTAAATCTTTTAATAAGCTGTAATTTAATGTTTTAATTAGCTGTAATTAAATCCTTTAATAAGCTTTAATTAAATGTTTCTAATTAGCTGGAACAAGTACTGAAGCCACTCAGCCTGACTGATGAGATTCTAGAAAAACTTATGAATGAATTCAAAGAACAAATGCATCTAGCCAACAGCCAAGATGAAAACATTAGAAAAAAATCTGATCTTTTAATGATGAACACATTTATCAGAATTTTACTTGATGGGACAGGTAGTTTTGTTTCATTTATTTGTGCCAGTAATACATTTGTATAATTTCTTGTATAAGGCATTAAAACATATCTTGTAAATTTTATGACAAGAGCTTTCAGATGATGAATTAAATTGAATCAGTTCAACTTACTGTTACTATTTCCTTTACTCATATATCAAGCATTAAAGTTTTGAATTGGTATTTGAAATGGCATACATATTTTTAAACATTAACAATAACATTTTAAATATATTTCTAATCATTTATTTTTAAAAAATATGCGTTAAATTTGTCAAATATTTTGCCCAGAGCAGGGAGACTACCTGGGTCTAGATCTAGGAGGTACCAACTTCCGTGTGGTTCTAGTCAGATTTAAAGATGGAGTTGCAGACACAACAACACAGTACTACGAACTGACTGATGAAACTCTGAGTGGACCTTCTGCTGGGGTTAGTGGACTTTAATGGAGTTGTCTCATTGTATCTGTTACTTTTTCCTTAATTTATAAATTAATATTTAGATTCTAAAATAAATCAAATTATGAGGGTTGTATAGATTTATAAATTAAAATGCAATTCAAAATTTAGATGGTTGTTTATTTTTAAAAAATGTCTTTATACTATGATCTTACACTTTGTTATAATATAACCCCCCTCCTTCCCCACACACACACTACCTAAAATAACTTTACCTATAACATTGTACACGGGATTGTGTGGTCGATTAGGAGAGCATTCGACTGGTAACCCAAAAGTTTTGAGTTCAGATCCCGTGTTTGCATCTATAAGACATCCCTCAGTCCACCCAGCTCTGATGGGTACCTGACTAGGTGGAAGTAAATGCAGCTGGGCATAGTACAGACTATACAATCCCTTTATATACCCAGTCACTAAAACAGAAGAGCTCTACTTCCTCTGCCTCATGGACCATAACGTTTAAAGGGCACTTTATTTTATTACTTTATGTAATACACTTTGTTGTTAAAAAATTATTTACAGAAATAAGTAAATATTAGCAGCAACTTTTCTCACTTCTGTAAATAATTTAATTCCTGTCAAATATTTTTTAGAACTGAGCTGTTAAGCTATTGTTGTTGGCACATTGTTCATTGACAGACAACACAGCACAGTGTTCATTGATTGAAATTACTGAGTTCCCATAACTCAAGCCTGTGAAGAAAATTAGGGGAGGTAACCAATATTATTATTTCTAACATTAGGTGTTTGATTTTATTGCTGAAAGTCTTCAAGATTTTCTAACAAAACAAGGGCTGGCAAATTCAGAGAAAAAAATTCCATTGGGTAAAATTTTTGTTTTATTATTGTTTGTCATTAATAATTATTTATTTTCCTCTTTCAATGAAGTAGTAACCTAATGTTTTTTTGTTCTAAAACTTACCTATTTATCTTTCATCGATTTTCTTAAACCTAATGAGATTCTTATATAGGCTTTTATCTTTCAGATTAATTTAGCAGCCTCTAATGCTTTTGACCAGGGGTCGGCAACCTTTTCAGACAGAAGAGCCAAAAGTTACAATTTACAACATTTCCAAGCTTTTAAAGAGCCACTAACATTTTTATTTTAATATTATGATCTTTGATTAGGATTACGTATATATATATATATATATATATATATATATATATATATATATATATATATCAATGTATGTAGTATGTAAGTGTGTGTGTGTTTGTGTCTGTCTTTTATTCATTACTATACCTTTCATCATCCGATCGCCATGAAACTTTAGGAAGCTGTTGAGAATACTCATGGGGAGATATTTGCGAAAACAAAATGTCAAATTTGCAAATAGAATAGCGAGTGTTTAATTTTTATATTTATTATTATATCGTTCATTACCGAGTGATGCAGACTAATATTTTTATGAGTTTCAAGAATAAAATAAAATAATTATTAATATTTGTGCATGGAGCTGAAGAGCCGCACCTCGACATCAAAAGAGCTCGCGAGCCGCAGGTTGCCGACCCCTGCTTTTGACCATACATTCCTTTTATGTGTTTAAAAAAAAAGCTAAATTTAGTTGACATTTATTGTTTATGTTACTTTTTGAGAAAGGATTATCTAAGTTTTGATTTATTAACACCTGATACTTATCCTCCATTTATCTTCTTGTCTGTTTCAGGGTTCACATTTTCAATGCCTACACGGCAACTGGCATTAAACAAAAGCATCCTGCTGAAGTGGAGTAAAACGTTCAAATGTCCAGATGGTGTTGGGGAGGATCCAGTGGCCATGCTGGAGGCTGCCATCCAAAGAAAAGCCAAGGTCACACTTATGACTGTATATTTATAAAATAATGATAATTAAATTATCCTGTATAATAATTAATAATTATAAGTATTTCCTATATTTACAAAATGAGACAGTGTGGCCTAGCCGTAGAGCACTCGACTGCTAACTGATAAGTCTCACGTTTGAATCCAATTTCAAGTCAGTAAAACGTCCCTGAGTCCACCCAGCTCTGATGGGTACCTAACATACAGTAGGGAAAGTACAGGCAGCTGGGCATAGTGCTGAGCACACTATACCTACATATGCCGAGGTCACAGCAACAGGTAAACTCTACTTCATTTGCCCTATGGACCGGCAGGCTTAAAAATATCTAAACTATCCCCTATAATAGCTATCCACTATATAGTAAATTTTCACCAATATTATTTTCATTCAGCACAATAAAATATTAAACTGAAATATGTAATTTGATGATCTATTTCCAGTTATACATCTATTTTCTGTCCAACTAAGTATGATTAATATAATAAACTTTTTTTTGCTAAAAATCCTCAGGGGCATAATACAAAAACAATGTTGATTTTTTAAAATTTATTTTTCACGTTTACAAAACACACAAAAAAAACCCAGTTACTTCCCATGGTACACTAAATACATCTGATTTGAAACAACAAAAAAAAAACCAGTTACTTCCAATGTTACACTAAATACATCTGATTTGAAACAACAACAAAAAAAACCAGTTACTTCCCTTGGTACACTAAATACATCTGATTTGAAACAACAACAAAAAAACCCAGTTACTTCCCATGGTACACTAAATACATCTGATTTGAAACAACAACAAAAAAAACCAGTTACTTCCCATGGTACACTAAATACATCTGATTTGAAACAACAACAAAAAAAAACCAGTTACTTCCCATGGTACACTAAATACATTTGATTTGAAACAACAAAAAAAAAAAAAAAACCAGTTACTTCCCATGGTACACTAAATACATCTGATTTGAAACAACAACAAAAAAAAACAGTTACTTCCCATGGTACACTAAATACATCTGATTTGAAACAACAACAAAAAAAAAACAGTTACTTCCCTTGGTAGACTAAATACATCTGGTTTGAAACAACAACAAAAAAAACCAGTTACTTCCCATGGTACACTAAATACATCTGATTTGAAACAACAACAAAAAAAAACAGTTACTTCCCATGGTACACTAAATACATCTGATTTGAAACAACAAAAAAAAAAAAACCAGTTACTTCCCATGGTACACTAAACTATCAGATTTAAAGTTGTGCTGCTCATTTAGCTTGTCTTTTAGTGATTGCCAACCAGAAATGCCTCCAGTAGATTATAGGGAACTGGGCTTGAACTAAACTGTGATGTGCTATGTGTAAAAGATGGATCTAAATTTATTTTTAAAAAGCCAAAGTCGCTCTTTTTTCCTTAATTCATAAACATAAACTGTCAATAATTTCATCCCTAACAAAGTCTATTTTGTTGTCATTCATAATATGTAATTTATAACAGTTTACTGTTTATTGTTGATTTAAAACATTCATATGTATGACTTGTAAAGATTTGTGGTTTTACAGGGTCTTCCTGTGAAGATTGTGGTTGTCATGAATGATGCTGTGAGTACTCTAATGGCTGGAAACTACCTGGATAAAAAATGCAGAGTTGGGCTGATTCTTGGTGAGTAAATTTTTTTGAGCATGAGGTCAGCAATTTGTGGCTTATATGAGCTGCATGTAGCTCTTTTAATAACCTGCTGCTATTTGTTTTATTGTTTTAAAAAACTTGATAACTTAATATAAAGGAAACAAATCCTACTTCTTGTTTTCAATGTATTGCTTTGCTCTAATCTTTAAAACTATAATATAACTTTGTGTAAGCATACATTAATATTTGTAATAGAAAAAAAAACTACACAATTGGTCATTGAATGCCCTTTTTATTTATTTTTTAAGCTGTAATCTATGTATTATATTCAGTATGGAAAGGCTTTTTCCATCAAAGCAGTTAATGTAGCTGCTTTGGTTATGATGATGTGTGTGGTTGCTATGTGATAAGGGGGGGATTACTTTCAAAAACTGTTTTTTTGTTGTTGTTGTTCTACGCTGCTGTTCCTTGTTATGCTTGTTATTACAAATAAATAGCATTCATATTTTCGTATAAGTAAAAAAAAAATGGCCTCTTCTGACCTGGCTGTCATTCGGGCAGATGAATTAGAGTTTATTTGTTTCTGTGACCTGGACTCAATGAAGGGAAAGTAGGGTCAGTTCTATGCCTAGCTGCCTTTGGTATTTTTAACTTGAGTCAGGTACCCATTAGAGATGGGTGGATTAAGGGACATCCTATAAGACTCGAACTAGTGACTATGGTTTAGCAATCAGGTCCTCTAATGCCTGCCCATGCTGGCCAATTCTTTAATGCATTAGTTTATCTTCTTGCTGTCATCGTTTGGTCCCCAGGTACTGGATCTAATGCAGCTTTTGTAGAAAACATTTCAGACATTGAAAAATGGACAGGAGACTATGAGGACCCTAAACATGTAAGAATATTTTAGATTTTAATTTTATGGATTATAGAAGTTTGGTAAATAAAACTTATGATAACATTTAATTTTGTTAACTATAGTTGAAGTGAGATGGTGCAGTCTAGCAATAGAGAGCTAGACTGCTAACCTGAAAACTCATGTTGAAATCTGGGTTCAAGTCAGTAGAACTTCCCTGAGTCCACCCAGCTATAATGGGTAACTGACCACACTATACCTTCAAATGATGAGGACTCTGAAACTCTACTTCATCTGCATCATATCTCTTGGGCACGAATGATAAAAAAATAATGAGCTGTAGTCGAAGCAGTTTCTCAAACAACATAAAAGTTTGAGAATGTAAACTAAATGGTTAATCTCTTTGGTACAAAGTTTGGTACTAACATGTTTGGTACAAAATTTGGTACTAACATGTTTGAAACTAGCAATTTCTTGCACGAAACAACTTCCTATCATTACATATACAGCCATGTATTTTACATAATTTTGATGAAATGAGTAAACTGCAGGAGTCCTAGATCTAGCTCCAATTGCTCAAATCCTAAGTTATGTTTTTTACTACCCAGACCAGCGATTACAAAAAAATAGTGCTTATTAGTAAGAATCATTAACCTTGTAAATTAATTAAAAGTTAAATAACGGAAATTTCAGGTGATAATTAGCACAGAGCTGGCAGGAACAGGAGACAGTGGATGTATGGATTTCTACAGAAGTGAATACGAGAAAGAAATCGACAAATTCTCTAATTACCCAGGATCAAACACGTTAGTTGTGATATTTATATTGTTTACTTAATTAAAATACCATAAATAGTTTTATTAATCAGAATATCTTAACTAATTTTATTCTTTAAAATATATATTATAAATTAGAACATTATTCCTTATTTTATTAGTTAGAACATCATAATGTATTTAATTAATAAATAAACATACCTTATTTTATTTTATTTATTAGAAATTATACCTTATTTTATTTAGTTATTTTATTCGTTAAATTATCATATTTTATTAATTAGAAAATTATAATTAATTTTATCAATTATACTATCATACATCATATAATCAATCAATAAACATACCTTTTTTTATTTAGTATAAAATAATTTTATTTATATTAATAAGAATATAACAATCATACACTGTTTAATTAATAGTAGTTTTGTGTTTTCTAAATGATTTTAAGTAATGGTAATCAGATTTAAAATATTTTCTCTAAATGTTTCAGGTTTAGTAAATCTTTTACAGGCTTGTACCTGGGTGAGTTTGTGCGTCTGGTTTTGGTCAGGCTGATCAAAGATGGGACACTTTTCAATGGCCAGGGAGGGAAGTTGGTGGATGGGAGATGGGAGTTTACAACCTCCCATGTTACATCTGTGGAGAGGTAACTCCTGCTGGGTTACGTGGGAATCGTGGGATATAAATTCTTTTCGAAGTTTTTTAGTTATTTGACGTTAATGCAGTTCTCTACTTTATG